AAGAAGAAAAATGTGTTAAAGTGCTTCAAAGGAAAGAATGGAGGAAAGGGAGCAAGAACAACTCGCGGGACAAGAGGGAAATGAAAATGGAAGGAGAAAGACCAAAATGAAGGCAGAAGGGCGGGTCAACAGGGCATAGGCAAATTTACCGACGAAACCCACGTTGCTACAGTCTAAAGCTGATCACCTCTGCATTGCATCAGGATTCACGTTGACCGGGCCCATCACCGACGAGCATCAAGTTAGCAATGTAGCTATTACTGACCTGCATCTCATCGGGAATGAAATAAAAGCTGCAACGCCACCGGCCAGCAGCCGGATTCGCGGGGAGTTGCTGAATGCCAAATTACCGACAAGGCTTATGTCGGCAAATTTCAGCAAAAAGCTGCACTCCCTGCCGTAGGCGGCTAGCTGGTTGGCGGGGGGTGCATTGGGAGTGGAAATTACCGAGAAGGTGGACGTTGGAAATTGATCCTCAATTACAGACGAGACTGTCGTTCCAAATTTGAATTTACAGGCATTCTCCTCGTCGGTGATATGGGTTTTCGTCCTTCTCTTACCGGCCGGAGTAGATGCTGCATTTACCGACGAGTGACACGTATGTATTATCTTAAATTACCGACAAGTGTGACGTTTGTATACTAAATAATATATCTTACTTGCGTTTCTACTGTTTCTCAAGTTGCAGACTTGATTCTTGTCGGTAAATTGATGCTTCACCGAGAAACCTTCTTACCTTGGTGATATTTGGTCGATGAAGTTAGGTTTTCTTGTAGTGTTATAAAATAATATGTTATTTTACAATTAATTATTTTCATTTAAAAAATTTTATTTATAATATTATATATATATATCTTCTCATGTATTATTATAAATTTATAATTTTCTCGTATATAATAATTATAATATAAAATATAGAATATTAATATGCGCAGCGTGTGAGATAAAGCTTGCTTTAACGTATTTTACACTTCTATCCTTCAAATCTTTCTTTTTGAAACAATAAGCTTCTATGGTTGATTGAGCAATGCAAGGAACACTCGCCATTTGCACTCTCCAACCAACACTTCCATTTTCATTGGGCCACGTTATGTTGGCTGGAGAGGTAATCATTTCATAACGGAAGCAAGCTTACGTGGCCCAATAAAAAAGCATGTGTTGGCTGGAGAGTGGAGGAGGCGAGTGCCCCTAGCACTGCTCTTGTTGATTTCTCCTGCATTTCCTAAGCATCTTATAGGAAATACATCCTGCAATTGCCTAGCTACTGCCTATTTAAGTTGTTTCGTCTCCTTAGTTGGCTCATCAACTCCTCGCATCAGAAATTGAACCTGCTGCCACTTCTAATAATTTGCTTTGCTCGGCTCAAGTTGGTTATTAGTGTCCAACTTTACCTACTTCTTCTGCTACATGTAAGTACACTACTATCTATCCATATCATCAAGATTTTGTTTATTTTTTCCTTGATATATATCTCAGTGTTTCTTATTAAATAATTCATGAGCAGATTATTAGATTTAGTTTATGTTTGCTTCACTCTTTTCAGATTTTGTTTATAATTGATACTTTATTTGAGGTGTCTGTCTATTTTTTTGGTTAATAGTCATTGGTCACTTTAAATAAATTAATATATTAGTATTTATTTTTAACTGCTGATCATATTTAAATTATATTTTTCTTTTGAGAAATATCTATGAACCTTTCTTATAAGAAAGAGTAAGTTAATAATTGCAATTAAGCAGATCTATTATATACTACTTTCTAATTTTTTGAACTTAATTTGTTTTTTAATGTCTAATTTCTTTAACATCGTCTTCTAGACCTATAGTAAAACGTAATTTCATCGATTATGTTTGCTTTTAAAGTATAATATGAAAAACATGTTTTTTTTTTTTAATATAGAGGCTCATTGAAAAAAAAAATATATTTTTAAATAATTATTAAAAATCGAACTTTTAATTAATTTAATTAAATATTAAAATTTAAAAACAAGGTATTAAGTCTGAAAGTCAGTTAAAAAAGCATGTTGATTTTATATCAAAAAAATAAATAAATTTCAAAAGCATGTCAACTAAATTTACTTTAATGATAGGACATTTCTCGATGATTGTGCATACCCAATCACAACTGTGTGGCATTTGTACCTTCCTGGAAATGTTCTATTTTTCTGTCACATTGACCTGCCCACTACATTAAGGGTTTTTTATTTTTGGTAATGGAAAATTTTATAGGTGGTTTAGTTAATTTTAAAAAAAAAAGTTATTTGATACATAAAATAATCATTTTTTTATAATAAGAGTAATAAGAAGCATAAAAAATAAAATAGAAATAAAATCACGTGAATGAGAGAGTAAGGAATCCGTGAAAGAAAAAGAACTTTTAGTGGAGAGATAAATATAACTAATATCGCAAAAAGAAGTAGATAAAAAAGGAAGAAAGCCATAAATTGAGAAAATAGAATTTATTATTTTAAAATAATAATAGACTAATAAAATATAATTTTTTTTTAAAATTATTTAGACATACATAAATTGATATATGAT